GAATGCTACCATTCAATGGCACAGATGCATGCTAAACAAACCATACATTTTCTATCTTTCCTAAGAAAAAATTGAGAGATATAAAGTTCATTTTTTGTAAATAATCACATTTTTTCTTCTGTATCCTATTTATAATACAACGTAGAATCACTTTCTCCCACTGAAGCCAATGGGTGTCATGTTGTAGCATATTTGAGTCTTATATGAATATTTAGCAAATACTGTTAGAATTAAGTTAATTCACTTTAATATTATTCAGGATGTTTTCCCCAGTATCAGATATACTTTTGTTTCTTCATACAAGATGTTCTGAGAATGTTGCTAATTAAACTTATAAGAGATACGGTTTGCATTCTGTTTTAATGCAGTTGTAAGATATGGTGAACAAATACATCATCTGACAAAACTACTTGTTCAGCTCATGCTTTCTGCATTACAGGTAGGGAAAACTCTTAAACGAGAAATGAAAAGAATTCTTGAAGAAATGGAATCTATCAAGACAAAGGTAATAAAAGAGGTTGCATTGTATTAGGTTAACAGAGTATCAGCAGAAATGAAAATTAGAGGGCCAGATATGACAGTCTATTCTGGCTGTACCTTTGGCCATACATCAGCATCCTGTGTGTACTGGTGAACATGACTCAGAATATTTTCTTTTCTATAAGAAGACATGTAATTCTCCTTCTCAATTCTGTTAGGTTGGTTTTAATAGGATTTGGACATAAGTTCCTAAATGCACAGATGGTAAATAGTCTTCACAGATATGGGTACAAATAGCACTGAACTCCATGCCCTAAAATGTTTTTTCAAATGAATGCCATATAAGAGCGTAGTTCTGTATTTTTTAACATAGGCAGAACTACAGAATTATGCTATCAGACCTATTTTTATTGAACAGAAAAGTATATTTTAACAATTTAGGATTTCCTGAAAATATTATTCTATTACCAACATCAGGACCCTTTCTAGCTGTCTCCACATTCTACATGGGTAATTCATCATGTTGCTCAACTATCTGAAGACTTGCCTCAATCCAGCAAACCTTTAAAACTTGGGTTGTCCTTAAGGGCACTAGTAGTGTCATTAAGTTGCATGGCTGAGTCCTCAAATCTCTCTTCTGAGTCTTTATTCTCTTCCACCACATACAGAACTGTCTTTGACTTGTATTCCTACATTAACATTATTCCACTTCTTCCCATGGTAGGCAACCTGACCTCATTTGCCTCTCTGCCCCCCTCTGGTCTTCTCATGACATTCATTTCAACACCCCAGTCATCACTTGCGCTACTCGGACATTGCCTTGCTTTTTGCATGCCACTTGCAACCTGAATACCTGTCACTATAACCAAGATTTCTTGAGAAAGTTAACAAACAAAATATTTGTAGATATGTTGAAAAGACAGCAGTGATATCAACCCCACTGCCTGAAATCTGAGACTTTGTTTAACGATCAGATTTTTCAACTTGGTCTTGATTTTAAAAGAAAAGGGATGCGTGGTGGAGGGAGGGATGAATGTTCACTTTTATATAGCAGAAACTTATTACTACTCTCAGAAATACAAAATTAATCTAGAACCATTTTGAAAGAGAAGCAGCTCAAGAAAGAAGGAAAAATAAGTAAAAGTGCTAGGCATCAACCCCCAAAATAATTGTCTTTTATTTTTTCATACTTATGTTTTTTACTTTGCAAGATATAAATCTAAACAAGGCTACTTATTTTTGCTCTTACAGAATGGTATAGTTAAATTATAGATAAAACTGTGACTACTTGAAATATTTTGGTAAAGTACATTGTGGTGAAGGAAGTTACAACCATATTAGAAGTGGTTGACAATTTGATATAGTACACTTTTATTGTATTTATACAGGCAATGTAAATAAAATATGTGCTTGTTATTATTTTAGAAAGGAAATTTACTGAACAAATGTTTGAAAGGAGGAGTTTTCTCTTACATGAACACCCTTCATTAAGTTTTCTGTTGTAACTTGAGTCTCCCTTTAAACAAGCTGTGTATTAAAATTGGTTACTGAATAGCATTTTGTTTTGTCTGGTTAAGGGGAAAGAGACTCCTTTTCTACACTTCGATCCATCAATCCTTTTCCCCAAGTCTCGGGACTACTGGACCTATGAGGGCTCCTTCACTACACCTCCTTGTGAAGAGTGTGTCACCTGGATTCTTCTGAGAGAGCCTATTGTTGTCAGCCCAGACCAGGTAAACTGTACCTAGTGATTCACCTATCCACAGGCATGGCTTTTTGTCAATTTTGAATTGATTATGGTGTACATACCACATCCTAAGCTTGCTGACCTTTTTATTATGGATCTTTGTAGATGGCAAAGCTACGGAGCCTTTCCATGAACACTGAGAATGAACCTTTTCACCCCCTGGTGGATAACTGGCGTCCTCAACAGCCTCTGAAGGGCAGGGTTGTGAGAGCCTCCTTCAAATAAATTTCTGTTGAAGTTGGGTGCCTTTTGAGTGAGAAAATTCCCAGCTACCAAAGCCTAGGTAGCAACGTACTCTCTGCTGCTCTCCCCCTGGACTGGCCAAAGCCTGAAAGTCTGAATAATGAAATATGGTGGATCACTGACTCTGATTTTTAGCAGAGAAAATTTGGCTTGGGTAATTTTTAAAGGTTAATATGGAAAAGTGGAGTCTCTGTTGGGCTCATAGCAACAGCTTTAGCTTTAAACGGGCCCTTTCTACCAAGAGCTGTTGGCAGTAAAATGAGGTAGGTTCAATACCTAGGTATCTAGAGGTATCTCTTCATATTAAAAAGCATAATTGTTTTAAGTCTTTACCCAGAAAATCGAGAAAATGGAACACCTCCGCTAGATACCCTAATAGACAATATTTCCCTCCTTGCTAGCTTTCAGTGTCTGTACAGAACAATGGGAATTTAATTAGGGGAGGAGTGCAGTATAAATTGTGAATCCAAATAGTATCTAGTGAATAAATGTTCTTTTAACACACCGCTTTCCCCCTTCCTCTGCTGCCTCTCATTTGCAGTTTGTTGTCAGAGATTCAAACAAAGAATCAAGAGCTGCCTTCAGGTGCCTTCTGCACCTCTCACCTTTGGAAGGTGGGAAAGAG